CCATCTGTCACAACCTGCTTTCCTGTCACTCCACTACGAAATAAAGGCCACTAGAGCTGAAAAAGAAATCCTTAAAAAAATAAACCTGCCAAACGCATAGGGGGCAGTGTGGTGGAAAGCTAAAATATGTCAGTCAAAAAAATTGTTTCAAAACATTCTTGTATGAATTAAACCTGGAGCCAATTTTATTTGTGTGGACTAATATAGAGGTTGAGCTACTTAGAATATAAAGTTATAGGGAATCATGTCAAAGCCGGTATGGGGATATATCGGCATATTTTTTGTCGTAGTCTGTGCAGAACCCGAAATTTCAATTTAATCAAGTTTCAATCAAGTTTACTTGTATTGCACATTTCAGCAACAAGTGTCTGTCCCTATGTAAGTGTTCAATAACTTCTCGGATGTAAGGTCTAGCTCAGTGGCTTTATGGTCTGAACCTGATATATACAAGAGAAACTTCGTTATTGTCTCCGATACTGAATGAAATCGCTCTTAACAGCAGCGTTTATATTCCGGAGTCATAACGTCTGAGCTAATCTCTGATGGACGTCTTGTTTGTTTGTTTCTGAATATTGGGGCAGAAGACCCTGAAGAGACATCAACTGATTCATTTCTTCAGCAGATTAAAATTAAACATGCAGCTTGGGTGCACTGGTTGTACGTTAACTGCCTGTGCACAACACACTGGTCTGCAATGAACCCAAAATTACAGTTCCTGTTAATGCCACCAAATACTGATGCACTCTTGTGAGATTCTGTAAGTGTTTACACAGTGCGAGTTGTTAGAAACGGAAACATAAAGATGTGCGCCAGCGCTGTAAATGTGTTGTTGTGAGGGGGTGAGACTCCCGGCTGCAGAGAAGAGTAGGTGTGAATGCTAATTAAACTTAACATCTGTCAGATTCAGAGGCTCCGCCAGACATCAAACCCACAGTCAAATAATCAGCTACCAGATTATTAATGTTACATCAAGCTAAATTCATTCTGTATATTGATAACCGGGGGAGGACGCGCTTCCTGAAACATACCCGTAGCGCCGTCTCAGTGTGGAGGAGTTTCTTACTCACTGTGGGCCTCTGTCAAGTAACGCCTCGGTTTATTAGGTCTGATATGAACTATAAACCCAAAATTTGTTTATGTTCGGGGGCATCAGGGCATTGTTGAGTGATAATTTCAAGAGGGAAACATTATGCACACTTCATAATATTGTCTACTCAGCACATAGAGTGGTCCAGTCCAGACTGGTTTTTATGTGAGAGAAGGGCTTTAGGACGCTGCACATCAGAGTGTCATCTCTGAGAGCACCATTACGGCTTCATTGCCAGCATGCACTTTAGTGTCTGAGTTGTGTTGCGTCTGTGTTTGGATTTGTGTGGATTAATGACCACTGGCATAAGCAGTGCCACAGACTAGTGTTTTACACAAACAACAACTGGTTTTGTGACGGCATGGGGAACGCCTCGGGGCGGAAACACGACTTTTGCTGTCCTCTGTTTCTCGCTCTATATCCCTGTCTCTTCATCATCCGCCGCTCTTGCTCACCTGTGCCACCTCACTAATGATTGCTCAGCGGCTGCGAGTCTACCATGCATCATTTACCAGGGCTCCAGAGGCAGCAACGGGGAGCCGTAAAGGAAGTAAGGGGAGAAAGAGAAACAGAAATATTCTCTCTTAATCCAGGTATAGGAAGATGAAAACGACTGTTATCCAGAAAGAGGTTCTGAGAAGGAGAGAGGATGAGAGATGTGCAGCCAAAAAGTAGACAAGTGTTTGTCACAGAAGCAGAAGAGAAGGTGAGAGAAGGCTGGAGGGGACCAAGAGACCCATTTTATTAATCACAGCCTTTATCTGGTGGGAAACATAGACAGCTCTGGATGAAAATAAAACGTTTGTCTGTGTAGCAGCGAAGAGTAAGTGCTTATATATAGAAAACATAACTACACAGCCTTGTGAAAGTATTCACATCCTTTTCTTTTCCACATTTTGTCATGTTAAAACTGAAACCTTTATTGTGTTTTACAAGGATTTGGGAGATAAACCAATCCATATTTTTATTCTACCAAGTAAAAATCTGAAAAAGTTTAAGATGTTTTTATATTTCTGTAAATCTCAGTATAAATCCACCTGTCCTGTAAATGCCTAAGAGGTTTTCTGGAGAACGTTGGTGAATAAACAGCGTTGTGAAGACCAGGGAGCACAGACATGATGGAGAAGAAGAAGTAGCTGAGAGGTTTAACGCAGGATTAGGTTTTCTAACAGTATCCCACGCTCAAAGATCTCATGCAGCATTGTTCAACTGAACACCATAGAAAGAGGATGGCACAGCTGAAAAACCCGGCAAACTGAAGGACCAGCCACTTGTCAAAGAAACAGTCAAGAGGACCACTGTAACTCTGGAGGAGCAGATAAAATCCTGAGCTCATCTGAAAAAAAAAATGTTAACAGGACAGCTATTAGTTCTATGCTCTCTTTTAAAAAAAAAAGTCATTCTGTGAGGAATGGATTCCCGGTAGTCATTGGCGTTTAGGGACCACAACTGACTGTGAACAGCTGAAATATGCAAATACTTGAAACTCCTACAAAAATGCTTATTACTACCTAATTTAATAGATCACACACCAAATGCACCTTAATATGCATTAATACAGACTCAGCATTGCCATACAAGCTCACCTACAGTCTTCAGTCAGGTGAAACTGAAGGTTGAAACATTGTCCAGGTATATCAGCTTCTCAAGTTATCTTTTTTAAATAAATATTTCTTAAAAATGTTCTACAAAAGTGTGTAAATATGTGATTTTTCCATGAATAATGTGGAGTTGTGTTCCAAAAAAATGGAAGAGGTGAATGAGTGAGTAATGAACCATGAATTACCTGGTCTGAACCTGAACTGGTAATGACTGAGCAGTTAAACTGACTTCTTGATGACTACTTCCAGGCTCTGGCCAGGAGAGAAGTTGGTTACCAAGGAGACTGAATCTGGACCAGTAGATGGACGCTACCACTGATCGAGGAGTTCCACTGACTTTCTGGGCGAAGTCATCAGAGTGTTGAACAAAAGAGATAAATTCAAAAGCAGGAATAGGTTTCTTGGGACTTTCTCTGCTTGTTGACCAGTTTGGCAGTTGGTTACCAAGGATACTAAATGCGGGCTGCGAAAAGATGTTACATTCCTCTGTGTCCATCATCACAGAGTTAAAACCCAAAGGACAAATGGATTTTGAGGACTAATGATGTCCACTGACCAGTGGTTGGTTACTATGGAGACTGAATGTGGACTTGTAGCTTTATGTCACTGCTGACTGAGTTATTTCCCAACTTCTCCTGTGTGTCACAATAAAGAGTTAAAACCTGAAGCACCAGCAGATATCTTGAGCACGACTTGCGTTCATGCAGTTAACCTGGAGGTTGAACGCAAACTGGAGGAAACATGTTATGGTATTCCTAATCAAAGAGTTACACTGTGTTTCCCCTGTGTGATGCATCAAACATAGTGTTAATGAATGTCTCAGGGACCACATCCACCTTTTGGCAAATACAGCAGTTTGTTTCCATGGAGACTCAGGATGCAGGCTGACCAAGGAGTCACACTGATTTCTTAGGCAAGTTTCCCTGCTGCTTGAGCATCAAGAGATGTCACAGACGCTGCTCCCCTCCCAGATAGTCTTTGATCTCCAACATCTAAAGGAAAATATCATCTCATATTTATCATATTGGACAACGGTATCACTATTTTTATTCTTTTTATATTTTTGATGCAAATAAAATGGACAGAAAGAACTGTTCATAAAGTTATCGTTGGACGTTTTAATGCAACAACTGACTTTTGTCTGGCACATTTCTGTGTCTTTAAGCTGTGACACCAAACAAACGAGAGCCAGCCTTCACAATGCAATATGTGGTGAGAAAAACAGGAAATTCCAAGTCTTCTCACAACCATCACAACTTGTTTTTCCTTCTAACAGAGACATGATGCAATGTTTAATTCGCCACATATGCATTACAGGCCCTGACAAGATCCGGTGCCATCCCACGATATGACACGACACAGCGGGATGGCATCATGAGCTTACAGCACACTTCCCGCCTTTCTCAAAGAATTATTATTACTATGTTGCTTTTCAGGCTTTTAAAACGGAATAAAAAGTCAAAAACGCTCAGTGCCAGTTTTTCCACATTCCCTGTATAAGACGAACAGACTATATCATTAGGAGTCTGAGCCGACAGCCAATCAGGATTGTAATGATGGGCTAGATTTGTGCAGACAGCACAGATAACACACACGCTGACCCTGCAGTACCGCCATCCAGCGGTCATCTTATTAGGCTATAAAAAGCTCAGGTGTAGGCGTGCTCTGTTTGCCTGCTGGTGGCCTCCCCAACACACCAATTTCCGTTCATTTCTGGAAGAGGGAGCGGTGGGTAGAGGTATGCAGGGAGAATGAATAATATGAAAAACATGGATAGAGAGAAAATAATAGCACTCTCACAGCACAAAACTATTGTTTGCAACACATGCAGTGCAATAGGTTGTTTGCTTCTAACTGAAAATCTATAAAGAAATCATGTTCTCTAAGCATCACAACAAAGATGTGATTAGTTCATTATGACATCATATTACATGACTCTACATTTACTTTAATATTTATATCCAAGCTGCCAAAATGTGTTTCTGTACAGACGGATGCAAATCCCTTAAGCTCAAAGTCAAATCCATGCAAAGCAGCCGGTCGAGGCAGGAGACAAAGAAACCTCAAACCATGATGAGTTTGTGCTGAGTGGAGGTCACAATATTTTGCTCATCAAGTGGATGTTATAACCAGTGAAAAACCAGGGTGCGCAAATTTTTTGTGACACTAGCAAGTTTTAACAAGTGATTTATGCCAATAGATTTATTTTGAATACTTCATTTGCCTAGTAGCTGTGAAATATGACTCTCTCAAAGAGAAAATACAAACGGCAGGGTTATTGGCTCCCAAATAGACGAGGCAAAGCGCAGAAATTGCTATGCAGTGCAATTCAGGGACTTTTATTCCAGGTCTGAATTATGGTACAGCAAATAATATCAGCCATTTTTCATGAACAGTTATTGAGTGCAAAAGTTTGAATTTAATGTGGAGTTCCTCAAACACAAACAGCAAAATTGTACAAAAAGACTCAAATCCGTACACTGCTTGGACAAAAGAAAAAGAAAATAAAAAGGTCACACACGTAACATTTTGTTGGACTGCCTCTAAGTTTCTGCAATGTCACAAGATTTATTTCCAAACATTGCTGCATTCATTTTTCACCAAGATTTTGTATTGACGATGGAAGACTCTGAGCACAGAGCAAAGCCTTCTGCAGAACATCCCAAAGCTTCTCAGTGCGGCTGAGGTCTGAAGTCTTTGGTGATCAATCCACGTGTGAAAATGACGCGTCATGCTCCCTGAACAACTTGTTCACAGTTTCAGCCTGATGAAGCTTGGCATCATCTTGGAACAACGCCATGGCATCAGGGAAGAAACTATCCCATGATGGAATAATCTGGGCAGTCGCTATACACAGGTAGTCAGATGGGCTCTTAATGTTGCCTCTCTTCTTGCTCTGATGTGCCCATCACTCTGGAAGAAGGTAGAGAACATGAAATTCTTCCATTGCTCTAGATTACATCAGTATCTTTATGCTTCGTTGCAAATTGAAGCCTTTTTTTCCCGTGAGCCTCTCTGATTAATGGTTTTCTTATGGCTACGCAGCTGTTCAGTCCCAATCCTTAAGTTCCCTTTGCTTTGTGTGTGTAAGTAATAACTCTTACTTTCACTATTAAACAGTTCTCAGTTCCACTCTTGTTTTCCTTTGATTTGAGGTCATTGATCACAGTCATTTCCAGGAGTTTTTTCCAACCACATTTCTTCTTCTTTCTTTTTTCCTTCCAGTCTTTAATAATGTGTCGGACAGTTCTCAACTCAATTTTAGTAGTTTCTGTAATCTGTGCTTGATGCATACCAATGACTTGACCTTTCTCAAACAGACGAACATCTTTTCTGCAACCACAGGATGCGTCTTTCCACGTGGTTGTCTAAGAAATGAGAAGCTACTCATTGCATCAGCTGAGGCTTTATAACTTGTTTCCTTGCAGTAACTATCCAATAAGAGGTTTATAATTATTTGTTTAGTGAAATCCAGGAGGTGACTTTTTTTTTTTTTGCCAGGTAGTGTACATGTAGCTATCGTCAAGGTCTTGCCTTATTCCAACTGAGTAACTAACCACTTTTTGTTTCTGAAATATTAATCTTGTTTAAACTGGTTGGTTCCCAGGCAAATGTTTTAATCAGAAAAGCTTGTTGATGGCCACAGAAAGCAAGTGGAATCATGTGGTTTCCACAAAACTCGCAAAGGGATATTATTCCAAATGTTTGTGAATACATTTTCTTGTTTTTAGGTCATTGAAGTATCTAATATCATTATTTCATTTTGAAAAAAAACAACAGTTCAAATTAATAATTAAAACCCCAAAATGAAATGACAGTAATAGATGTGATTAGTGTGTAAACATTTGACTAACACTCCCTATACAGACAAATATGCACAGCATTAATGTCTGGAAAATAACACTCAGTGACCTCTCCCTCCACATGAAAATAACTAAAATGACATTTTTGCTGCAATTAAAAAGAAACAACAAAAAAAACAACATACAGCAGGCTGCGTCTCTGGTCATAACCTGATATGAAATTAATGAGCATGTATCGCAGCAGCTTGTCGGGAGCAGACAGGGGTTAAAAAGGTGGGCATGCGATGCCGGAGACCCACCTGCTCCTCTCATCCTCTGCATGATTGTTAGTTTAAGAATTGCAAGGCGATGGTGTCACCCACACAAAAACTTCATCTCTGTGATTTCTGACCTCCCGCACCGTGCAATCTCACAAAGTTCAGCGACGCACAGAAAGTAATCCAACAATGTAAAGAGCGAGCAAGGATGTGAAATTGAAACATCAGACCTGTAGTCTCTCTCATCTCATGTTTCCTGGGCTTTAAAGCGGCTCCTTCTGCTGCTAAAAGGGACAAAGGAACGATCACACAACTAACTAACAGTGTGAGCGAGCGTGCTCCCGGGCTCTCACATTCCCTTCGGAGGGCACACCGCAGCCTTTCATCTTTTTTTTTTCTTCCCTGTGCATCTATCCTCTCATCTCTCCGCTTTATGTTCTGCTTTCTGAACAGAGTTCAAACACTGGGGACCAGTTTAAATACTGAAGGTTCCCACTGCACTGCTCCAGTGAAGTAGAGCATATAGTGAAACATAAGAAGCTCTGGCTTTCACTCGAATCAAGCTCCCTGGTATTCTTTTTTTTTTCTTTTAAGTTTGAGCCATATTAGACCCTTCTAACTTATTGGCAGTCCTGGTTAAGATGTGCAAAAATCCATAGAATAAATTAATCTTTTTATACCTTAGCAAATTGTTGCACTGAGAGATTTTGCAAAAGGCAGTTAACACTTTTGCAACCTCCAGATGCTAATAGGACAGCACTGACACAAGTAGAGTCACGGATCCTCTTCCTTTCTTGTCCTCAGTTTGCCCAAAGGTTTTCTATGCTGCTTAGGTTTGCAAACAAACAGCCCAAATCCACCAGCTGTGTTTGTTGCCAGAAAACTACATTTTTCTCTCCTATGAACACAGAAACACAGCTATAGGTAAAGTCTAAATAGAGTTTAGCTAACTACATGTTTGAGTTTGTGATGGTTTTCTGGCATCCTTAAACATCAAAATAACAGTTGATAATCTCTATTGGGTTCAATTACATCTATTTTTAAAGGATTACTTACAGTACCAATGCCTATACAACAAGAGATTTTATTAAGCAGGATTTTTCCTTTGATAGAATAAATAAGTTAAAGGCTGCTCTTCTTATTTCTTTCTGTGAGTGTATGCCACTGAAATAAATTTTTATTTTTATTTTACTTCTTTCATTTTGAAGATTTAACTATCAAGGCTGAGAAATATTTGTTTAATATCAAAGATCATACTGAGGAAGCTGAGATCATTGCATTTTTCTCCTCACTTTGCAAATACTGTGAAAAAAATATTGGAAAATGTTTTGATCATATTGTTGTGTTTTATGTTTTACTAGTGAAGATTTCAAGTCATAGGGTTGATGCTATTTGGTAGGTGAAAGTTAAGGTGTTGTTGACCCGAGTCTGAGGAAAGCAAATCAAACAGTTCCAAACAAGCAAAGCGTTTTTTGTTTTTTTTTAGCCATTGTTCTCATCTTCTTCTTTAGAGCAGTTGGCAAAAAGCAGCTGGACTTTCCTGCTAATGGGTCGTTTGGCTTCAGGAAGAAAAATATGGCGCACATCTTCTGGCTTTGTGAGAAAGCAGTCTGTTCTCTAAAATGCAAGATTTTAGTCTTAACTGCCTAAAAACGTTTGAACAATTGGCAGATCACATCTAATGGTTGTTATGGAGACTTGATGAGCCCAAGTTGTCACTCCTTGCAGCAGTTCTCTGACAGTGAGCTTTCAAGATGTATTTATTTTTTATTTATTTTTTACCTCTTTGGAGTTGTTTTAAACATTTTAATTGTTGCTCCAACTGCAGACATAAGCAGATTAGTGCTGTTATTTAAAAATGCCCATGAGAGAATATTCCAGAGAAACCTCAGAAGAAAACCTGAAAATTTGAATTGTAAAAGGAATCTCCAAAGAAACTATGAACAAGGGCTCTATTTTGTACCCTTCCATGCTCTGACCCATATAGTATCATATTTGTGCGATTTGTCACTTGATATTTTTTAATTCATTTCTTAACATATGAGGATCAAAAGGCATACAGTCTATTTGAAATATGTGTTCTCCTTCCCATTTTTAAAGAGAGGCCACTCCTCTCTTTAAAAATGTGTCATGTAATATTTATTATACCCCAGGGGAAAAGTAATAAATTACAGATGACAAATAAAAAATTATAAAACATAAATAAAAACAGAACACCAGTGATTTTCCACCGGATTATTTGTTTTTATAGTGAATAAATGTACTCACATTAAATGTTTTGGTTTACCTTCAGCGTAATGTTCTGCTACTCAAATAATAAATAAATAAAAAACATTTATTTTAAAGTTCTCTATAGCAGGAAGACTAATGGGTTAAGCAAAGACGGAGAGTGCTAAATATTTATTATTATTATTATTATTATTATTATTATTATTATTATCTTAAGCAAAAGAAAACATTAAATATATTAAACGGCACACAGTTGTACTGTTAGATTAAATCCTGGAGTTAAGGTAAAATAACTGCATGGATAACAAAAGACACAAGTCAAACTCAGAATATGATATTTACACACTGTGGAATACAACCTTAAAAATGTCAATGTCAAAAATCAATACAAGAAAAAAAGTGAAACAAATGAAAGAGAAGATGTATACCCTTGGATCGATAGACTTCCAGGTGACTAATAGGAAACTGGAGTCCTTGGACCTCCATAGTTTGTGAACTCTAGTAGTTACCTATATTTCACAGGTATTGCTGCTTGTGTATATTGAGAATATGCCAATCTTTGTGGAGTTATTCTCTTAGCTACTCATCTCCTGTCTGCTGTTGGGTCTGTTTGAATCTTTTGCAGGAAGCGTTTTCTTTAAAGCAACCGTCTGGCTGAGAAAGGGCCTTGAAGTCTGTCAATAAAGAGGCTGATGGACAAACTGCGGTACAACAAAAAACCCCACAGGACTCCACAGACAGCAGCAAAAACAACAAGCCAGACAGTGTCGCAGACGAAAGCAAAAACCCACTTTTAGCAGCAAAATGAAACCTGTTTTATCCGTCGCTTTAACTTCAGGCTCACAGTAATATTCTTAGATCCTGTGCTTCTACAAACACAATTTTATGGATTAGGTAAGAAGAAATAATCTGCTGCTCAATCCCCATTACTATGAGAATTAATCCACTGTGATTACCTCATTGTGATTATTGTAATGGAATAAACATCAGCTGTTCTGCCAGCAGTAACTATGATGATTAGCTATGTGTTGCATCCTTGCTGTACAAGGAAGTACGTGTGTGTGCGTGTGTGTGTGTAGAAATACACAACGAGTTGGCTTCCACCTGGCTGACAGGAACGGTCAGCCGCTTGAAATGAGATTACACAATCACAAACGGCCTAATCAGGACTCATGCAATATTCATACTTGGTTTTCATAATTACTTAATTAATTCCCAGCTCTGAGCAGATATTGCCAGTGCTAATCCTCCAAGTATCCCCCAGGGCTTCCTGAGTCTGTTATAGATGTTCTGTCCCAAGTTGCAAAATATAAGGGAGACACCCCAAACGATTGCAAGCACAGAGCTAAATTTGCTCTCTTATGAGACTTTGCTTTGTTCTTTTCTTATTTCGCAAATATAGGTTGAAACTCAGGATTCAAGCTTTCCTGCAAAGCTCACAGCTGGAGTTGTCTGCAGGCAAAGTGTTTCCTCCCCGCTGGGAGAAACATCCAACCCACGCTTTGTGCTTCCTTCGAGAGGAAAAGGAAAAAAGAAAGACTTCTGACTGAACTGATGCATGCAAGAACAGTGGAGAGGATGCACCTGCTCGCGTACTTCTACCAGCAACATGTGTTCAGTCTGTTTTAGCAGCTTCTTTATCTCTTTCCTCCTGCAGTGGGGGAGCATGATGTCTCAAGCACCGAGTCTAAACTGGAGGCAAAGAAGAAAACAAAAGGGGAGTCATATTCACTCTCAGATACTTAGGTGGCTGCAAATGACCTGTAAATTCGCATTTTGATGTTCCTTGACTGCTTTTAGTTTCATCACGGTTACACATTAAGAGGGAAGTAAAAGCAATGCATATAAACTGCATCAATTCAGCCGGTGGAACAACTTAAATACTTTTCATTTGGACATATTTGATTCAATACTTCCACATAGAAATTGCCAACTTCAAATCCTAAAAGATACTTATTAGAAGTAGAGCTCAATTAAAAATTTAATTGAGTTAATTGCAGGGCCTGTAATTAATTCATCACAATTAATTGCATTTTAATAAAAAACTATGCAACGATAAAATAAGCACCATTTTCAGTTCAAAAATCATTTTGCTACTAAATTATTGAATAGACATGAGTTCAACTACCATTTATTGTTTTTAATCTGTTATTTAAGTTATTCAACCGTCAAATTAATGGAAAGTGCTATTATACCTACTTAGCTTCCAACTGTTTCAGAAACCCCACAGCATTCAAATAACTACTTTGGGAAAAAAAAAAAAAAAAAAAAAAAAAAACCCCTTTTCAGTACATAGACGTTGGGGATGTCTGTGCTTGCTGCAACATGTTTTGCATTTAGTTTGTATTTTAGGCTCAAACAGCTTCAGCGATAGGCTAAATAATTTTTCCACAACTTCCACACACAAGTCTTTTCCAACTTTGTATCAAATTGTTTGTTTTTCAGGAAAAATTTACCTTAAAATTCTCCAGAGGACCAAGAAAAGCTGCTTTATTGTGATCACGTGTGTGTGCATCAGATTTACGGGCATAACAGAAACGCACTAATTACAAAGGTTCTGAATGAAAAATGTGATTAGTCGTTGTAAAAATGTTTAACTTGTAAGTACTTAATCAAAGTAGTTTTTCCATTCTTTCAAGATTTTGATTTTATCTGCATGATTTTAATTAGAAATGTGTTTCTTTGTCCGCTATATTGATTATGCAGCAATGAGGAACACCTGGTGACTTGGGTAACCAAGGAGGAGTCAGCAGGGCGGCAACAATCAATGAGTGATGGCAAGGAAAAGCCTTTAAGGAAGACAAGGGGGGGGGGGACAAGAGGGAGACCAGTAACAGTAGCTTAGGACAGCATCAGCAGGCACCCAAAGTGAAACCAGTCATGTCTTGGGGGGAAGCCAGTGCTATGGGAAAGGCACTCTAGCACTCTGTCCCTGGAGTAAGTACCCAAAGCTTTCCAAAAGCATTTGCCTCCTGCCCATCCTTGAGGACTGGGGCCCTCTTCTTCTTTTTAGAAGATGGCTGCTGATGGAGTGGAACCATAAAGGGGCTTGCTCAGGAGACCTGGAGGTTTCTTCCTAAAGGGGACATATTATGCAAAATTCAAATTCGGCCCATTTTTGTACTTCCATTTGGGTCTGAACTGCTTCTAAAAACAGCCCAAGCACAAAAAAGAAAAGAAAAAGTAACACCAAGCCATTTGGCCATATATGAATGATTTGTTGACTTATTATTGCCTTTTCTAGATGGTTAAATAACATGTGCCCCTGACGGATATTTATAAAATAATTGTGAATAAGTATTTGTGTTCCACAAGATAAGTGGGAATTTTATAGACACTAACATTCACACTACCAGCCATGACTTATGGTAAGAGTGATAATCTGTGCCACATTGAGTCCCTTTAGACTGAGATGTAAAGCCTAATGAACCAGAACAAGGTTCCTACTGGACCTGGAACCACTTAATCGCTGATGAATGATTATAATGAATATAAACATAATAACATTCACTTAATCACACCTCTATATGACCAGGATGGTCATGGCAAATAACATCTATTAAGGGGAATTATGTTGACCCAGTGTGAGAGAGACCACGGCCTTTTCTCCCTCGCATCTACCTGAAAAATGTTCTGTCAAATCATTCCTTAACAAATTAATTATACGTCCACCGAGAGGCAAAATAAGCTCATTCTACGCAGTGTGTCAACACTGAGCTGAAGGACCGGTCACCTGCTGTGCGCTGCCTCAGTCCCCACTGACCAAGGGTTTTCACAGAGAAACAGCTAGATAAGGCAGTGTGAGACCAGAGACACGTTGAAGACACACGATCAATCAGTACTATGACTCAGGGCTAATTCTGTGTTGATAATTAGCCAGTCGGAGAAGGCTGAGTAACGGGAGCTCGCCAGGCAGGTGCCCGGAGGTCCTCAGGGAGCCTGAACTGTCTCTTCCCTTCATTAACTCTTTTCGTCCTCTCCCCTTGTCCGTCTGATCCTGCGAGCAGCCGGGGCTGCTGGGTAATTCACTCTCCGGTCTCTGAGGTGACCCTGAGCCGCAGGGCTGAGGGAGATGAGGATACAAAACTTCATTTTAACCTTTCCTCCGAATCTCTTTTTCTCAATTTCTCCAGGACCTAAACGGCTTTCTGTACTTAGCTCTTTGTTGCTGAAATGGACCAGATACCATAACCTTTTTCTGTTTTTCTGACCTCCCGGTCTTTAGACATATAGGTCAGAGCAAAAAGACTGCCGACCTTCTCTTTTGTATTTTTATCTTGCTTATTCCCTCAATGTCTCTCCGCCTGTCCAAGTGTCTTCAAAGAAATTGAGAGAAAAGGAGAAATTCATTTTCCATCCATCTCTCTATTTGTGGCATTTTATAGGGTTTTTATTGCACTTCTTAGCTGATTGCTCACATTTATTTACAACAAATGCAGTGATGAGGTACTGATGTGAATGCAGCTGGCATATAAATGCCACACTCTGCTCCTATTTGCCCATAAGAATGTACTGCTTAGCTTTCATCTGAGCATCTTTTTCAATTTGTCTCCATGACTGCCAACTTAAATCACCCGGAGTCCACCCTTTTTTTTTTTTTTAAATTGTAGCAATGCTTCTTGAAATTAAGAAAAGGAAAAAAAAAAACACAGAGGGGTTTTAAAGATGAGTTAAAGTCAGACAACTGAGCCATCATCCAGTTTTAATAAGAGAAGTGCAGAGTTCCTTGTCTCACAGTAATCTGCACACACACACACACACACACACTTATACGTGCTTGCACTTTAATCAGTATGATTTCACATTATGGCTTTGCACATTAAACCAGAGTTACAATGTGATTATTGCCTGTGACAAATGAAGAGGTTATATTCAAACTGTTAAACAGCTCATAGCTTTTGATCAGAGACATATATGACCAGTTAAAATGCTTCATGCAAAGAAGTGCCGCCTGTTTTTCTATAGATTCTCATATTTTCCGTCAACGTTTCTCACTGCGACAAAGAAAAAGACACATCCTGTTTTCAAACCAGACAGGATAGAAATCTTAGCAACACGAAGATGATGGATTGAGTACTTTTTCTACCAACATACAGAAAAAGCTTGGTGGAAGTAAGCAGGTGAAGAGCTAAGGGGGATTTTTATGGACCACAAGCAGTCTCTTTGTTGGTTATTTTTTTAATATATTTTTTCACATTAATTTGATTAGAACCATCATGTGGCTTTAGCCCAAACACTATTGGGAAGGAAAATTTGAAAAAAGAAAAAATGACAATGTAAGACTCCCTTTAAGATGCCAGAAGAAACTGTCTCATTTTGACATCATCTTATTCATGTATGCACATGATTTCTTTCGTGTGCAAACATCTCTTCTGATGAAGACACGGGAACATAATCACCTCCGCTGCCTCTACGGAGAGTGTGCACCTATCAATACAAACTCAGGAGAAACAACACGGGGCGAGACATGCACACGCGCAGGCTATGACACACTCACAGATGACAGGTGCATCACGCCTCACTGAGTAGCTTTGGTTACTGACAGATTGTGGCAGGCGAGCAGGTCTGAGCAAAGCGATGACTGTCACCTTTAATCTCCTAAAACTGCATGCATAGGCGCACACACACACACCTAAATACTCCCACCACCACTGTGCACTGCATTATTTTTTTCTGCTCTGCACCCCGCATGTCTGATTGCTATCCTGTCTGCTGGGAACTGGGATTACCCAAGGGGGGGAGCCAGCACAGAGTCAGTGATTTAACTGATCTGCCTCTCCTCTGGGACTTCTTTTTCTCTTCCACCAGTGCCTGCACGCCTGAAGTGCCACTGCTGTCCCATGTCATCCCGGCCAGGCCTGGGCAGGCTCCTGCAGGGAAGGCTTTAATGACTTCCTCTCTCCTTTCCTTCTTTGAGCATTTAGGTGTGGCTGCCATCTGAATGGAATTGGAGGGAGGCAACGTGAGAGATTAGCATATCAGGGGTCCAGATTAGCACCTCTGTGGTGTGTACACATACTGACAGAAGGTGGTAATGAGAAAGAAAGGACCTCCCTCCCCCATGTCGAATCTCCACCCTCGGCTTAATAGAGGGAGCTCAAATGGAACCGCAGATAGAGATGCGGGGTGTCTTTATCTCGCTTTTACAGGTAGAGGCAGTGACATGTTTTCCTCAGTTTAGATGAAGAGTTAGCAAATAATAAGATGAGAAACCAGCATGAAGACGGGAAATGGCATGAACAAACCTTCATTGTCACAGTCTATGTGTTATGCCTTTCGTTATATTAGCATTTTGATTACATCAAGGAATAAATTACTTGTTTCTAAAACAGAAAACTTGTGGGTCTGACTGGTCCAGCTGATCTATCGGCTGCTAACTGCCACCCAACAAGAGGAGCAGGCTTAGTGTCACAAGATACGATAGAAGAGTCCGACCACTGGTGCCCTGTTTCTGCCGCAGGACCAAAAAGCTGCTCACCCTGATGGATTTTTCATTTGTGGATCTTGCAGAATCAATGTTCTGTGTTGCTCATCTCAGATGAGCTTGGAGGATTAGTTTTTTTATTTTATTTTACTTCTACTCATTTCGCTTGTCTTAATTTCATTATGTTGTAAAACTTTATCTTTCATAAAGTGTCTTGTAGAAATATTTGTACCTTTTCACATTCTGCTGATGGACCAAAGTGGGAACTGCATGAAAAAGGATGAAAGGTTTCTTAAACTCTTTTACAAATAAAAATCTGCCAATTTTATCTGAAAACACCCCAAAATAAATTTCACTGTAACCAAATGTCTCCTAAATTCACCCTATGATTTATGCATACATGCAGCTGTTCTTTGAAGATCTGAGAAGTTTGTCAGAGAATCTTAATGACAAAAAAAAAAAATCACAGTGAAGACATAATACAGCAGGCAGCTCAGATATGAAGTTTTAGAGGACTTAGAAGCAGGGTGAGGTTATAAAACAATACCATGAGCATTTAATATACCATGATGTTCTATCCAACATGGGATGTTGGGAGTTAGGTAGAATTGGAAATCCACAAACACGACCGATCACCAGATTTTCTCATTGCAGGCGACACAGAAAACATGTGGAGCTAGCTGCTCGATATGATGAGAATAGAACAGAGCACTTGGGGGGAAAATGCTGTGTGGCGTCTTAGGCTCTGAGACTGAACTCAAACTGTGCAGGTCCTGTGCAGCAGAAACTGTGCAGCTGTTCAGAGTTGATCAAAAGTGGATGCAGCTAGAAGCAGTGCGATCCTGGAAGCAAAAATAGGTAGTAATAACTAGTTGCATTTAGTTGAATAACATTTTGAAAAACATGTACTTGTGGGAGTAGTTTTAATGCACCGTACTTTTTGCTTTTACTTTAATACAAATATTTTTTAACCCATAACTTTACTTTTTTTCCTGTCCGATAATACTTTAAACAAATAAATCAGATTTTATTTAGCTTTTTTTTTTTTAACCAGATACAATTATACTCGAGTAATTTTTTGGATGACTACTTTTTACTTCTTCTTGATTAAGGTATATTTAAGTAGGGCTATTCTTATTTGAGGACAATTTCTAGAAACACTACTCACCTCTGCCTGCAAAAAAAGCCTTTTAGTAGCTACAAACCTGCACCCAGATACTACCAAAACTACAACAGATCAAAGTGTAACACAGAAATGAAGATTATAAAATAAATTAAACCAATGGGTCAATAAGTTCGGCTATTGGAGCACAGTGGGGTGTTTAAATGAGACACAAAGGCAGTTAGATGAATTTAAAGATTGTTGTCAAAAGAGTTGTACAAGCCTTAAACAATTATGAAAATAAAATTACACAACATTAAATGTATAAAGTAGTAATACTATTTGGCTAAATGCTTGTTCTCAGTTTTAAATCTCTTGGGTGCACCGTGTTAACCTGAGCTCCAAACCGTGATAGAAAACAGATTAATCAAATCCAGTTCCATTTCGGTTTCAACTCAAACACAATTCCTACACAGCACTTTGTTATAATGTCCCAAACTAAAAATTACTTGTCCAAATAGTACAGTCCAAAAATTCCCGGGATGAAAGAATAGAAGTGAAGAGACATCAGTGGTCTTACACAAACCACTGTGTGATGATGCGAGTGATCCAGGCCTAACGCACCACGGGCGCAGCAGGACTCCAAACTCAGCAAAAGTTTACATTTCAACAACCAAATAATTCAGATAAATTATATTATTCAACAACAATATGCTAAACAGAATAAAAATCTAAGTGAAAGTCAAAGAGTATGCTCACTGCTGTGAAGGCGACAAGATAAGACAAATATGCATTATGGGTCTCAGTCCGAACACGTGGGGCACTGGATAAGCAACAAGGCATGTTTTTTATGCTTTAACCGAAGTAACATGAAAGTAAACACATGCTGTTCCCTTTGCGTGGGGTCTCATTTGCTGTCTCGACTTTTGGCATGATAATGACACCATAGCTAAGAGGCTAGCGAGGTAGCTCCAGCAGTACTTTTTAAAGTTGGCAGAAAAACTGAAACGCCGATCTGTTTACTCACTTCAGCTACTTCCAGCTCAGAAGTCGGCTGAAAACAGTAAAACAGTTTGTTGAAAGTTTATATCCAGTAATTTTACGTCTTTAACTACACAAACTGACACGCTGCACAGTTTAGCAAACTCCTCCTGATGTCGGCTCTACAGACACACTCAACAATGCTGGAGACACAGAGACGAAAGGCGGGACCTACAGCGACACTCTGCATTCTGATTGGTTGAAACACGCTGGAGTCTGGATATTACCTCTGTTTTCTTAAAGAGGCATCCTCATTTATGTGCGTTACACAAACATTTCCATCAGTAAAAAATCCAATGGCCAAAAGTTGTAAATACAGTTAAAAAAAAGTGGTTCTACAAAGACATAACTAAATGGCGATGAACTGAATTTCTTTTCAGATTGCTTTTTTTTTTTTCTGTAAAAAATGTTGAGTGATAAGTTTCATAAATCCCATTTATTGCTCTATCATGCAAAATCTCAGTAATAAAAATTAATATTTGTAGTTTTAATGTGACAAAATGTCAAAAAGTTTAAAGGATATGAACACGGTAGCATAAAGCTACACTCCCAGTTTTGTAGATGTTTTATCTTCCTCCCTTCCCTCTGTTCTCCTTTACGTCTTGTCATTGCGTATTCTGTTTATATAAAAATGAGGCTAACATCCAATTTGTGAGCTCACTTTTTTAATATATTCCATTTTTTTTTTTTTGCAACATCAAGGACTTTATTTATTTAGATGATTCTCTGCCCCAGGAGCTGTTTTTATCTCACCAAAGACCTGGCGGCAGCGCAGGGTATAACCAGAAACTCCCATAAAGCAAGAGAAAGTAGGTCCCCCCACTTGAAAAAAAACTAAGTTGTGTGAACTGTTTTTTAAAGCACAGCATGGGGCAGTTACAGAGCTTTGCTTCTCCACCTGTTCTCTGTCAGACAGAGGAGTCTGGTTGCGGGTATTTTTTCCATCGCTACCCTGCGGAGCGTTGCTTCCTAAGAGACTTTCAGTTGGGTAGGATTCATTGTTACGAACGTTGCACCTCACCATGACAAAGGCTGCGTAACTGGAAGTCTAGCTGAGCTTTGCTACTTTAAGAGCTTTGCTGCACACAATGTAAATGACTTCTCTCCTGTGCTCTCTTTCGTTCCGCTGCCCGGCAGACCATTGGAAGCAAATAATGAGTCACATTTTACACCTCCTCTGTAGCAGAGTGGCAAAGTTAAAGGTAAAAACTTCACAAAACTGCCCTCGCAAAGCACACACATACACAGGCACACACGCACACAAGCTACAAGATTCTGTATCTGGTTCTCGCCACACAGCTGACATCCAAGCACAAGACGGAAAATAATTGCATTCTCTCAGCACTCTCAAATACTCCCTGCAGACATTTGGGTCAGTTAATTGGAATTTCACATAGTGCCAACACACCATCAAGTAAAGGCTGGGTTTGTGCTGGCTGCTGTTCATATTGTGAAGCATTAGGAACGGAAAACCTACCACTCCTCTCTAATTACCAGTCTCTTGATGGTTTGGGGGAAAAGTGCTGGCTATGAAGACAAGATGGCTCTAACAATTAGAATAAACCTTCAGATTTAGCTAACACTGTGATTATTGGGTTAGTTGTCAATTACAGTTATTTATTGTTAATTGTTTACCATATTTACAAAGAGCTTCTTGTTTGGTTGGTTTTAATTGATTAAAGTGCAAAAATGTTGAGGGATCATCATTTTTTTGGAGCTTCACATGCCAAAGATGCATAATGTTGGAATACGTGGCAAAGTCAAAGCACAATCTGTTCATATTTGCTGGTGTGACGGATTTATTTCTGTACAGCACTGAAAAGCAAAATTGCAATTATCACAAATATGTTGGTCATTTATGTATATTCTAAAAGCTCTCATTTGGGACTCTTTCTGCCCTTTTACATACAAACAAAGATTTGTCCAGAAGAAAATAACCTCATGAGTGACAGAATTTACAACTATTAAGTAAGAAAATGAAAAATAAAAAAGAATTGAAAATCATTCTAAAATACTTCAAATACTTCACTGAACTAAAAAGAAAACAAAGGAAATTAAAAAGTTTACCAACATTTTGCGAAAAGCAGACTAATGTGTTGGGAATAGTTGAGGAGGACATGCCTGCCTGTGTATAGTAGTAAATGCATGTCATAGTTGCAACTATGAAGCCAAAGAAAGTCTGTGTTGGGAATGATTTATGTTTTAAAATAAATAATCCCTTTTAATACATTTTTACAACTACTTATAAAAGGTGGTCGAATAAGTTTTTTAGATTTATTCATTGAGGAAATCACCCACAATGAACCAATCTGTTTTCAAGCTGATCCAGTTTGAAAGATATATTTACAGGAGAATTTGTTTTTTATTTATTTTTCCAAGGACAAGCTACTGTACTCACACAAGCTGACCACAGAATTGAAGGTTATTCTTCTTTTCAGGGCCAAATAGCTACTTGGTGGACTCTGCAGTTTTTTTTTATATAATAAAAACAAAAGTCTACAACCTGTTGCCACTAATCTCTAGATATTTTATCCCTCAGCATGTGGCAGTTAGGTATTACACCTGTTTGGAATATAAAACAGATACATATATTATAAACAGCAGTGGTGGAGAAAGTACTCAAAAAATGTACTTAAGTAAAAGTACAAATACACAGGCAAAAATGTACTCAAGTAAAAG